TTGAAGTTTTTAGGGTTCATTCTCTATCTCTTTGTCTTTCAATCTTGTTTTGATGATTCATAACCATTGTAAGATTTATTATATGATTATGAGTAGGTAAATACCCTAATTCTAGGGTTGTAGCTACTGGATGAATGTAATTCTTTGAATTTGATATTGGATTTTATCATAAATTATCATATGAATCTCTCTTATGTTCTTGTTTTTGGTATTTTATGCTTGATCACCATAGAAATTAATCTACTGTCCGAATTGAACTCAAGAGAGGAATAAGAGGATAGAGCGTAGAGCATCAGGAGCTTGTTTAACTCTAAATAGTTAGGGTTGATTCGTTTCTAGGATAGAGATATACCTAGAAACCTTGTTTGGGTCACCATACAAGAATATATCTTAATGCTCAATTTTTAATCACTCTCCCCGCTCAACGATGTAGTTAGAGTGTTATCTATTGTATGCGATTAGAGGTCGGGAGACCATGATTATACATCTAACCATGTGGTTCAGTGATAAGATAATTCAAAGAAAACCCTTAGTAAATGATATTGATTACATGATTCCTAATAAAAGTTGCACCTTGGATCTTTCCCACGTTATTGTTTGAAATGTAATAAATTGAATCATAGTAGTTATAAGTTAGTTTAGGTAAAATTAGTTAAGTAACAACCTTTACAAAATCTAGAAAATTTTCTTGTGTTAAATTACAAGTTGGAGAAATCGATAAATTCTAGTTTTAAGTCTCTGTGGGTACGATACCTGGCTCTTTAAAAATCAATTGTATTACTTGTACGATCACGTGCACTTGCGTGTGCGATTTGACCACAACAGTACACCAACCCTTTCCGACTTGTTAGAAGTACCGATATTTAGATAGCCAGTTTTGTTCGATGATTATCCTTCTTCTTTATGTGCTCTATTTTTTAATGCCCAAATAGGTCAAGATATGTTAAATATATTATCTTTCTAATTGATGACGGTATCTCAACAATGTCAACACCATGATGTACACAAAGTCGCAAATACTTGAAATTTGATATTGTCTCCCTGAAACATTATCTTCTAAAAACAGTGTGCATAAAATTCTTGGTTTTCCTTGATAATTGAAGCCATTGATTCACTTTAGGACTTCATTGAAAGATACCAAACATGTTGACAACCAACTCCTATGTTGCACCCTACGTACTAAAAGGATTAATATTTTTTCTTTTGGGTTTGCCATTGATCATTTTGTTGTTTCTTTTCCTCCTCATAGATAGGTTGCTGATTTATTTTAGTTCGAAATTTCAGTTTCCATGCTGTCATGCTGCTGTATTTTCTTCTGATTAACATGTGTCTGCTCACCGTTATTTTTACCTTTTTTTTCTACTTCTAGTTCCTTCCTTTTCCTATGTTCCTCATCCCTCTTTTTGATAGTGCCTACGTGAACTAGGTGACCTTGATGTCTACAATAGATACAGTAATACGGGCTTCATTTTTTGACTGATTATGCCTTAAACGAGCAGCAAAAGTCTGAAAAACTGTATAAGGAGTTTTCTGGTATCACCTCTTTTTGTCATTGTGCTGATCACCAGTCATGTTGGGCTTCTTCATGTCCATTTAGTTTTTGGCTTATCTGCAAAGAGGTCTCTTTCCTAACTATAGTGAAGAGTGAGATTGCTTCTGAACTAGAGGAGGAAACATCATTGCCAACTCCCTTGCTTCAAAAATACCAATATAAAAGACTATTCATCTGTTCCAATGCAGGGGAATGGCAAGATTATTAGAAGATCAATCTTTATCATTCTGCAGAATTAGCAGTGTTACACTACAATAGCAGCACTGTACTCATGTTCCCTTTTGCTGTCTCGGTTCTTCTTCTACAAGCATTTCCCCTCAATGTGTTTCCTTCGAGCAATCCATGATCACCTGCATTCTCTATTTGATGCAGCAGGATTACCATCTTCTTCAAAACACTTCACCGTTTTGAATTCCAAGCTTCCTCAGACATTTGCAATATTTTTTCTTGCATTTCCTTTCACCCTTACCTGTCTTCTTTTTGTAAAGGTATCCATGATGAAGCTCTCAGTGATCAGAAATCATCCAAGAAACCTGCAGTTTCTTGTTTTATCTCACATTACAGGTCGTTTCTTCTGACTCACCTTTGCAACTCAATAATCATCATCTCAGCAAATGAAACTTGTTTTACCCTCCTATTTTTCACCTTCTATATTATTAATTACGGACTTTCTCTCTTCTAACAAAAAGTGTAAAACGCACAACTCAAGTCGTAAATCATCAAATATCATCTAGCTGGTAATGAGAGACGAATTAAAAATATAAACTTGACGGTTCAATTATAGAGTGTCTTACAGCCCTTTCAAATTAATTACTCCACTACTGTAGTGATAGCAGGGCAGAAAGGTACACTATATATACCAATTCCTTTTCCTTTTGGGCATAGGTAGTAAAAAAATGTTGAATCACTTATTGGGAGCTCTGCCTCTACCATTTGAAAGAACAGGGGATGGGAAACAAGCTTCTTCTCCTCCTTGCTGCCCATTGATCCGAAACAAGTAAAAAAATGTTTAATGAAACAAGCTTCTTCTCCTCCTTGCTGCCCATTGAACAGGGGGTACATATAAAATAATGTTTTTCTGCTAAGTGTTATAGCTTCATTTAATTTTCAGTTCTTGTTGATATCTCTCACAACACCTGAACATGTTGCACAACACTTGTAAAACCCTTTTTGTTGTTGTGATCACATCTGATAGCTTTCCACCACTGTGTTTCTTGTTAATATATCTCATAACACTTGCAGCTGCTACTTCCTCCCCATGGCATCAACTAATGTGCACCTCGTAGTAGGTTTGCACATTTCCTATTGTGATTGATCTCCTTAAATGAAGGCTAATATGCAGAGAATATTAGCTTTCTAAGTGCTAGTATTAGAAGAGTGCTAAATGACCTGCGTTTATTATTCTAAGCATCTTTCAGGTGTTTAACCATATGTATTTTTCCATTTGATGACTTCCAAATATTTTTTCCTACTAAGGACAGTAAACTCATCCCCATACAATAAACGTAAACCTACTAACTATGCACCTAAAAGAGATGACCCCTCTCATTACACATTAACTAGTAAGCATCAAACAACTTACAATGGAGACTCTCCAGTCTCAAGTTACAATTTTTGAGCTGAATTTTTTTATTTCCCACTCCACCAGTCCATCAGAAGACTTACCAGTGGCATATATCTATGATTAATCCCAAAAAAGGCAGCAAAATATTTCCAAGTATAAGTAGCAAAATTCCATGTAACAAAAATGTGGTTAATATCATCCCAACCTGAGTTACTGCAGCAGTGACAGTGTACTGGTTCCCCTCCAAAAGTTCTGATTTTTTCATTTGTAGGTAATTTTCCTCTCAAAGCTCTCCATAGTAAGAAGAAAAATTTTGTGCCAGCTGAAAGTATTTATGATATTTTTGCTCTTCTTCTGCCAGGTAAGCTCCCATGCTAAGGCACAAGTTAATAAGCCACATCAGGACCACCTTTATGAAAATGAACTTTGGGAACCAGAAGAGGTGGAACATGTTGGTTGACTATAGTTTCATTCCAATTCCCATCCAGGATGAATTGTGATATTTTGGTGTTATTACGACTAGGAATAGATGGCTTGTAGCAAGCCAAATCCCCTTCCCCTAGCCAACTATCCCACCAAAAACTACAATTTTCGGACTGAATTTTCCACCTGACCGGATTTTCTGCAATATGCTTGTTTTTTATCAGATTGAATTTTCCACCTGAGATTTTCGTCTTATTTTCTTTCCAAGTGTTTCTTTAGTTGTTTTGGTGTTATCCATTAATCAACAAGACACTGAATTAGTTTCTGTATTAGCAACTCATTAGTCCATTGCCCCTCCTCTTAAAAATAATTCACTTCTTCGATTTTGTCATCTTTTTTATTTGATGGCACAAAATGGAAATGAATGTTTCATACTTTTAAGTTTCCAGATTAGTCACACTACTTGTTATATTTTTGTACTTTGGATTTCATCTATTGATACATTTGTACTGAAGTTCGCAAATTTTATATCTGGTGATTTCAAAGATATTATTCGAAGAAGAGTAACAAACTTATTTTTAAAAGTTGTGATTGTCTATTTTGGATCAGTATTTGTTTGTCAAGATTCAAAGAGCTATATTCTAGTTAATTGATTAATAGTAATATATATGTTTTCACCATTAGCGAAAATTATTGTTTATCATGAGGCTCCCTTTTGCGAACATGTTTGTTGGATTATTATATATACTTGCTATCGATAAATGTAGTACATATTATTAATGATGGCTAAGCAATTGCCATCAAATGTTATGATATTTAGCGGCAATTCAATGGAAATTATTAGCCATAAAATTAACGCTAAAGGGGCAAACTAAGACATTTTAGAATGGATATTGTAGACATTACTCACCATACTGAAATTGTCGTTAAAATTAGTGTCTTTTAGCAAGTATTTATTTTGATTTATCGACTAAAACAATGGACGCTAAAGTACCACAGATAGACGATATGAATTACCTTTAGTAGCCAACATAATTTGCGAGATCAATCGCCATTAAAACTACTAACCTTTATTGGATACTTATTTAGATTTATCGACTAAATAAATGGACACTAACAGACGATAGCTAGCCAATATGGATTACCTTTAGCAGGCAACACAATTGCTGCAAACAATTGACATTTAAAGAACTTCCTTATAGCAACTATTTATTTATATTTATCGACCGAATTAATGCACGCTAAAAGACAATAGTAAGACAGCAAAAAATTACCTTTAGCAGCTACCATAATTGTCATAAAAGCTAATGGTTTGTAGCGGCATTTCATTCTATACTTTACCAGCATTTTCCAAAATGATGCAAAAGCCTTTGCATACCCCAACATTACCGACTAAAGTTCATTGGCCGGTATAGAGTCGTGGCAAATTTTATCACGGCTAACGACATAATTTTGTTGCTTCTAAAGAGCCCTTTTGTAGTAGTATTTGACCTCTCCATATTCATTGGATGAAGGAATACGTTGATTCTGAGGTAAACGTATAGACCTGTATCCACAGAAAAATTAAAAGTTTAAAATGAATTGATCTATGTCGAACTCTTCTGTTATATGCTCCTTGTCCTGCTATCTCCAATTGATTTCTCTGATCTCCCGCCTCTAAATATTTTAATGCAAAATAATTGAAATATGGAGGAAAATTTTAAGAAAAATAGATTTTTTTAATAAAAATAATATTTAGAAAAGATAGTTGTCAAGTGTCATGTCACGTCAAACTTAATAAACGTCTTTGAGCTTGATGCCTCGAGGTCTATCTGATTCCTTGTGGGGAAGTATTCAAAGTTGCTCTAAATTGTCGATAAATTGTGTCAAAAGTTTGATATCATCCTTAAAGTTTATGTCCTAGTTAACTATCTTGGCGTATTTGAAATGTTGGTTAGCAAACCACAGAATTTCTGAGATCCTCTCAAAAACTCTGTCCCAGTTGCGAATCTGAAAGTAACGTCAGTCTCAACTTTGTTGGAAAGATATTCCTCTTGAGAATTTTTGAGTTCCTCTCAAAAAAAATTTCCCAGTTTCTATTCTAAAGCAAAAATAGAAATCTTACAGGAGATATGACCGTACTGTTATGGTGCCGACATATTTCGTTGAGGCAGGAATAAGGTCAAAAATCCCCCCCCCCCGGGGGGATTGATCAAAAATAAGAAATTGAATTATGGAACTGATCGAGACCGACATAGATCACTTACGTATTTCATTCTTGAGAATTCAGCTCGAATGTAGTTCAAGTACCAAAGGAAATATTAAAAGGTATAAAGAGGGTGACCAAGGCCGACATAAGCTGCCTACGTATCTCATTCTTGAGAATTCAGGTCACACTTATTTCAAGTATTGGGACGAATTTCTAGACAAAATGATAAATAGCAAACAAACAATTATAAGGAAATGACAAAATATAAATCAAAGCTTCACACGTAATATCTCTTGACAGCATCTGAGTTGACTAGTTTCGGTCATTCGGTGTCATCCATCTCCAACAGGACCTAGGCACCTCCGGGTAACACTTTTCGAACCATGCCCCTGTCAATTTGGTGCAAATTTCCCTTTGTATTCATCCTAATGAGGAAAAATACGTTTGAGAATTAACTGACCAATTTCGAATATCCTAGACCTTACTTTCTTGTGAAAGGCAAGAATTATTCTTTGTCGATACAGTTGACCATGGCAAACAACAACCGTTCTCTTCTCGTCAAGAAATATTAATTGATCGATCCTCTTGTGGAGCCATTCAGCATTATTTAACTCATCCTCTTGGATGATTCTCAAGGAAGGTATCTCAACTTTGGCAGGTATGACCGCTTTTGTTACGTATTCTAACAAGCACTGAGTTGCTATAATCGACTACCTAACAGTCGGTCGATAACCCAACAAAGCATATGGCAGTATCTCATCCCATCTTCGGTGGTTTTCGGTCATTTTCCTCAAAATCTTTTGATGTTCTTATTGGTGGCTTCTATTTCTCCATTCATATGGGACAATATGCGGTTGAGTTTCTGTGAGTAATCTTGAATTGTTCATATATATCTCTCATCAAATGACTATTGAGATATGCTCCATTATAAGTAATGACAGATTTTGATATTCTGAATCTGCATATCATATTGTTGCGAACAAAAGTAGCTACTACTTTCTTACTTACCGACTTATAGGAGGCTGCCTTCACACATTTGGTAAAGTATTCGGTGGCAACCAAAATGAATATGTGTCCATTAAAAAAGTTGGCTCTGTAGGACCAATGACATCCATGCCCTAAGCTACGAACAACCAAGGTGAACTCATAGCACTGAGTTCGTGAGGCGACACCCGAATCAAATCATCATGCATTTGACACTAATGATATTTTTGCACAAAATTGCAACAATCATGTTCTATAGTCATCCAAAAATAACCAACTCAAAGAATCTTCCTTGCTAGAGTGAGTCCATTTATATGCGTACCGCAAACTCCGGCATGTATCTGTTCAAGGAGTTTTACCGCTTCGCTAGCACCAACGCATCAGAGAAGATCTAAATCTGGAGTCCTCTTATAAAGGATTTCCCCACTCGAAAAGAAATTGAGGGTGATACGGCGTATCGACTTTGTTTGGTTGAATGTTGCATTCTCATGATACGTCTCGATCTCTAAATACTTCTTGATATCAAAATACCATAGCAAACCATCTGTTTTCGCTTCAACATGTGTCATGGGAGTGTGTCTAAATTCAATGTTACAAAATCTTCTACACAACTTCTGTATATATTGCACATACAGTGTGATCTTTAGGTTCTTCACAACCCATTCTCCTTAAACTTGATAAATCAGCAAATTTGGATCTCCAATAACCAGCAACTCATAGACATTCATGTCAATGACCATTTTCAAACAAAGAATGGAAGGTTCATTCAGCCATGTTGTTTGTGAAATTAAATTGGAGTTTAGCCACTATAGGATACTGTTGACCAGATTCTGACACTAGACCGCTCCATCAAAGAATACTCTCCAACCAAGTTATGCTTCAAAAATATTTTCACCCATAAATGAAACTTCCTCATCGGGAAAATAATCCTTGAGCGGTTCATACTCCTAATCAACTTGATACTCAGCAAGATGATCGGCTAGGGACTTTGCTTTATCATTTTCTAAGTCTCATACACAATATCAAACTCCCTCAAAAAGCATTTGTCATTTATCCAATTTTTCGGTCGGTATTGCTTTCTAGAAATTATACTTCAACGGGTTCATTCTGGAAATGAGGTATGTGGTAGAAGAAGACAAACAATGTCTCAATTTCTAAGCTATCCAGGTCAAGAGAGAGTATAATGAGCCTCATATGGAGTGAATTTCTTGCTCAAGTAATAAATGGTTCGCTCCTTCTTCCTAGATTCATCATGTTGACCAAGCACACATCCAAAACCATTATACGAGACAGACAGATACAACAACGAAGGACTTCCTTCTCGCGGAGGAACTAACACTGGCAGATTAGATAAATAATTCTTGATAGCATCAAAAGCAGTTTGGCACTCTCCGGTCCACTTGGTCAGGGCATCTTCTTTCAACAACTTAAAGATGTGTTCACATACCACAATGGATTGGCCTATGAACCGGCTAATGTAGTTCAACCTTCCTAGGAAGCTCATCATTTCTTTATTGGTCTTCGGAGGAGGTAACTACTAAGATTCAATGCATCATTACTCAATTGTTTAAAAGAAAATTAGAATTTTTAAAGATAAAACATTCAACTTAGCAAAAATGGCAAGTCAAGTCTTAACATAAGCAATAAGAATGTAAAGACAAAAGAATTACTATCTATGAAGCCTCTAACAACTGAGATGGACATCGAGAAAAGACCCACAACATTCTAATGAAATAACTAATAAAACAATAAAAGGGATCCTCCGGAAGCAAGGAGGCTCACCACAAGAGTATGAATGCTCAATTGGATCAATAAATTGTTGAGTACTGATCCTGGTTACCTATATTCGCATCATAATATGATGTAGGTCAAAGGACATCAGTACATTGAATGTACAAACATGTGAGGGCAATTCTAAAACAAGAAATAAGCTTGAAAGGAACTGAAATTACATACATGAGCTTAGCTCAACTAACGCATTTCAATATAAAGCAATAATAGAAATATGATTAAAAGGAAAGCTTTTTATAACATGGATAACAAGTTTGTGTATTTAGAAATACAATGATAACTGTGTATGTATGCAAGATACAAATGAACTCTTGATGTATATATAAACAAGCAAACTATATTCAGAACTTCAAAACTAAAATAATACTCATAGGCAACATTATGAGACTATCGGTAAAATAAGGAAACATCAACAAGCAGAAACCAACTCAAGACCCAAACAAAATCATCAAGACTTCAAGTAAACAAAACCCAACTGCTGAGAATGAGAAGAATGAACCAGAGTCAAATGTGTAAACCTGGTTCTTATACATGATCCATAAATCACTGTTATAACACGCATCAAAATAGAGATGAGAGGCAGCAGTGTTTTCAAAAATATTTTTAGGGCGAATCTCGAGGTGAGGTGTATCAAAAATATTTTGGGCACAAGTAAAAGACGTTGATCAATAGGGCGTAAGTCTTAAAATTTGAGGTGTAAGCTCTAACCGTATAAGCGTAAGTTTGAGCGTAAAACGTGTCCTGAGATTTTTTATTATTTATTTATTAACCTTTCTCTGTTTAAATCATGTTTTTTTATTATTGGTGTAAAGATATTTCTCAAATAGTAATTGTAATACTTTTTTTCTTCATTATTGGTTATTAATACCTTTCTCATCGTAATATTTTTTCCTATATATTATAAGCTATTTATTGAACTTTATTTGTAAAATAATTGAAAAAGTCCTACTTTTGTTTATTTTCTTAGTAATAAAATTATAAAATTTAATATATATATATAAGACTGTCTTGTAGATCCATAAGATTTAGGCCCCGTGTCTCGAGACTTACGTCTCGTTCCGTGCTGCATAAAATGTCTCGCCTCACGCCTCCACCTTTCAAAACACTAAGAAGCAGACTCAAGTTTCATACACAATCTAAGAAAGAAAGGAAAGAATAAAGGAAAATGGAGGGACGATCTTTTGCCATGATTTCATGGTCCGGGACAATACCTTAGCTTTTATTGGACGGTTTTCACACTCTTTTTAGTATTGTTAATTTTTACAAGTTTTATGATCTTTTTTAATTTCTATGATCGCGATATCTATATTTGTGTATGCAACTTAATGCATCCTATTTTAAACTGGTCAAAATAATTAGAATCGTCATTTACATTTAGAATCGATATAAAAGGCTATATGTAGTTTGTTTGGAGTGGCCAATTCCTACTAAACTAGTGGGTTGATTGGGATTTGGTGCTCTTTATTTGTACAGAATTGTTTTAATGCTTATATAGTACCTATATTTACATGAGTTTACAAAAAGGGTGGGTGGGTAAAGGAGGGCTAAAATTTCACTCATATATATATCTTAATGCAAAAAAC